CCCCGAGTGCCCCGGGGGAGCCCCGCAGCCCAACCCCCTCCCTTCCCTCATGTGCCCCCCACGTCTTCGTCTCGCAGTCTCCTCCTCCTCCTCCTCACCCCGACCCGCCCGGGGGGATGCGTGTGGCGTTTGGGGGTGCCCCTGTTTCAACACCTCCCACCCCCCGGTATGGCCCGGTGCCGCACGCTGTCTCCCCCGACGGGCGGGTCGGCTGTGTGCCCACCCGCGGCGGTGGGGCCGGGGGGGCCGTCCCCTCCCTCTCGGGGGGCCCCTGACGGAGACGGACCCTGCCCCCTTCCTTTCTGCGTCCCCTCCGGTGGTGTTTTTGGTCCTTTTTGCCCTTTACGGCTTCTAATGAAGATGAAGGAAGCCGGCTGCTGCTGTTGCTGCTGCTCTTCGTGGACCCTGCAGAAATATTCAATTTATCTTGGCTTATAGGAAATTAAGACCGCTTTAGAAAGACATCATCACTAGCTCTGCCGCCCTTGGGACCCATCTGCACGTTGCCAGGATCTCTCTGTCCCTGACTGCTGGATTATTTTTTTAATTTTTTTTTTTTTTTGTGTGTGTGTGAGGCGGGAGGGTGGTTGGGTTTTTTTTGTTGTTGTTGTTGTTGTGGTTTGGGGTTTTTTTTTTTCCTTTTGAGGAAGGAGGGAAAGGTGCCAGGGGATATATATGTGACAGAAGCAAGATCTTTTGGATGCTCTTCGCTTAGAATTGATAGTTGTAGTTACACTTGTAATCTGTGTCTCTGCTGAATCATCTCAGGTTAAGGGAGAGACTTTTAAGTCTCCTTCTACTCCCTCCTCTGTCCCCTCTGCTCATTTTTCTCAGCACAAAGCGGGGAGGTTAGCAACCCTTGGCTGAATGTAGGGTAGCCTGGCAGCCAGGGACCTGGACATCGAGTGTCTTTCGTCTCTCTCCCTGTGACAGTTGCAAACACACTCATGGCTGGCCAGTTTCAAGGAGGGTCTAGTATTTTTCACTGTTTGTGGCAGTGAAATGTTTTCTTAACAGTATCATCTCCTCAACTGAATGTTTTTTTTTTTCCCCCCAGTCTATTTGTTTGTTTCTGTCTCTGTTTGCCTTTTTAAGTTTGGCCACATTTGAAGTGTCTGACTTCAGGCCCTTTGCAACACACTTTGATTGTGATACTGAGCACCCCGTGAACTGTGCAAAATTACTAAAATTGCGGATACCTTGAGGAGAGGGCATGGAAAGAACCCCCTGTCAGAAAGGGGAACAGAGAGAGAAGGGGAGAGGAAAAAAAAAATGCAAGAAACTAGCGAGACATCAAATGACAGATTTAAGCATTTTCCTGTTGTAAATGCTGGCATTACATGTTACAGTAATTATATGCTCTGGGCTACTGTTACAGTGTTTGTCTGCTGGATAGTAACCTGAACTTATGAAGCGAATACAGTTGTTTTTGGATAATAGTAATATTTATAGCCAAGATTATTCACAGCAGATGTCCTATGCATATAGGCTTTATTAAATATGCTTTTAACTTTCTGGCCTGCAGTGTTAAAGCATATGTACATAGTGAAGAGAATTTTTCTCTTTAAAACTAGATGTGTTAAGCAAAGATCAGAACTAAAATCTAAAGTAAATAAAGGCCATCAAAAGTGTTAGGGAAAAAAAGACTGGATTGTATTTTAGCTTATGTAGAAGCAGAGAAAATGGGTTCCTACTACCAAAATAGCATTATAGTTATTAAAAGCATATTTTGACTTGTCAGAATACGATACTTTTGTGTTTTATTATCTTTAAATCTTCTGTTGCTTTTCTGACAACTAGGATATAAACATCTAAACATTAACCTGTGTAAATAAATGAATTATGTTAAATATAATGTTACAGCTGTAGAGTAGGAAAATTGTTGTCTAAGAATGAACAATTTTTGCATTTAATTTTGGGACACAAGCTGTCATTATTTCAGTTACTTCAATGAGCAGGCTAGGTGTTGTGTGTTTTATATTAATTTTAAATATGAAAATAGATTTATAAAATATTATTTTCCATAATATAGCTTAAGCCAATTAAGGGAAACCTAGTCCCATATCCATCACTTCCTATTACTTGCTGTTTCTTTTAGCATCTAAACATTTTGAAGTGATGCCATACTTCTGGATTTCCTTTTCAGAAGAGCTTCGTAATTTAGATAAAAAAATACCTAATTCCTCCTGAAGTTAGCTGCATTGTGTCAATAATACCTGAAAAAATTAATTCTTCCACTCCACTGTATTACTATTTCATAGAATTAAATCTTGGTAAGGCTTTTGCAGAAGAGGACTAGATTTATTTTCTTATGTGCAGCTGTAAGTAAAACATAGCCTTTTAAAACAGCGTCCTTTTCACCATAATCCTGTTGGCATTGATGTTACTTTACTTTTATTTTACTCTTTCCACAAATACGTGCAGTGAGATGAACTTTGCTTAATCCACTGAATGAGCATGGTTGAACCTGAGCCTGCAATCTCAGTGTTCTCCTTTGAGAGAGTGTTAAAACATAATAGTCAAGGTGAATAGTTTTGTTCTTAATTGGGATGGTGTCTGTACGTAGAGAAGAGGAAAAGCAAGTCATAGTTCAGAGCAATTTAAAACTCTTTGTGTTTGAAAGAGAAATTCTTGATTCAGGCAGATTCGATCAGAAAACCACAGAGATATGTGGGGATTGCGTGGGCGTTAGCAAGTAACGTTTGGGCCTGTGTGCTTTGAAGGTGATTCTTTTATTAAAATCTCTAGAGGAGGATATATAAAATATGTATATAAACTACAGGTTTGGAGTTAAAGGAAAAACCTGGGTTTGGTTTTGGTTTTTTTTTTTTTTTGTAAAATTTTCTAACAGTCATTGCCACCACATACGCTAATTCAGTAAGAGTTTTTCATGGACATCTGCCCTTCATTAGAACAGTTTGAGAAGTCATGACAGCTGTAGCAGTGGGCTTGTAATTCCTCATCTGTCGGCATATTGTTATACTATTTAAAATGAAGGAAGAAATGAAAATAGCTAACTAGTATCAGAAGTATGCAAATAAAACATTAACTTCTGAAACGTACTGAGATTTCTTGTTGCTCGTGTTCTCTGACAGCTTTGCTGCCTCATGTTGCTTGAAGAGAATTTGTCAGGGAAAAAAACTTCCTTATATCCTCTTGGTAGCTTGCTGCTCTAGAAGAGTGCTGGTTTAGTAAATACAAACAGCCCTGTGTTAGTGCCTTTTGGTTCTGTGAGTGTTTCCATCGAGCGTGCCAAGATGTGGATTTTGTAATGTGGAAACCCACATTATAGACTTGGAATGAGCCCACAGATTTATTTCATATGGGATAACAGAGTCTTAAGATAGTAATAGCTCTAGGTTTTTGACAAACTATGCTAGATTTGAACCAGTGGCGTAGTGATGAGATGGCAAAATCATGATTTTGCCAAGTGGTTGAAAAATTTCGCTCACAGTGAATGGTATTATATTTGCAGAATTATGTTTCCCGCTTAACTACAATAACTTATGCTTTTCATATATATAAGGGTTTATTATTTATTTGATATGGCGTTTTAAAATGACCAACTCCTGAGTTATTGTTAAGGTGCTTATTGCAAAACTCTTCAGTACTAACGTTACTGAAGTACTGTAACACAAGCGGTATGTATTAAAACAAAGGAGTAAATCTCATATGTTTTTTCCTTAGGGCACATAAGAAATACTATTGGACAGTTTCTTCTGAAAAAGCTAACTGCTGTTGTTTGGTTTTTTTCAGTGTATCATCTGCCATGTCTACAGAGGGGCAGAGAGTTGATGATAGTCCCAGCACTAGCGGAGGCAGCTCTGATGGAGATCAGCGTGAAGGTGTTCAGCAGGAGCAAGAAAGGGAGCAAGTTCAACCCAAGAAAAAAGAGGGCAAAATATCAAGCAAAACGGCTGCTAAACTGTCAACTAGTGCTAAAAGGTACAGTGTTCTTTCTGGATATTTATTCTCCTTTCTCTTTTTTTTTTTTTTCTGCTGGCCATCAGATGTATGTATTGACCAAGTACATTAATTTTCTTATTGTTTTATTATAACACTACTATATCAGTGTAATAGCCTTTTGAGACTGGTCACAGTAATAAGACCTGTATACTTTTTTCCTTTCTTTGACAGATTGGTTCTTTCACATGGTTTTAATAGTAGCTTGCATGATAAAAGCTGACATTTTTTTATTGCTAGTAAAACTCAGACAGTTTTGTAGCCTTATAAAATATATCTCTGTATGTGTATATATGACTGATGTTGAAACTTGTCAGTGTAACTTACAGTTAATTAACCATAAACATTTCAGACAGTTCAGTAACTCAGCATGTTAGGACTACCGTAATACCTATTGCTGTAAAGTACTGTGCCGTTTTCCCGGATGGTCAGGTCAGAAATATTTGAGTGAACAGCAAATGCATGTTGGTTTCATTACTTTAAACTGTGGTCTGTTTTAATACCCGTTTCTTTTCCTTCTCGTTTCTGCTTGAGAGGACATAGAGTAGCTATTTAAATTATTCTATGCTATCATGTGACTCTCCAGATAATGATTGTCTTGCTTGGACCAAACAGAAGGAATTTACAGCTCACTGTTGCTCCTTCAGTACATGTAGGGGTGTTAGTCTAGGCAACAGAATTCAGATAGGATTATAGTGATTGAAGTTAAAAAGCACTTCTAAAATAATCTGACAAGAAACCAGTTTGCAGACTATCTTCATGTAGAATTCCCAGATCCTGTTTCTTTGCTAATTCAAGGCCATGTAAAGTTCAAGTAAAGCCATCAAAGTTGTGCCATGATGGTGCTGTGGTAAAGGGGAAGCATCAAAGCACTATTGCCATAGTTTATAACATATGTATGTAGTAGTAGTCCCTAAATACCAGTATATAAACCTGTGTGCACATCTCTTCAGGAGCCAAGTCTTTATCTTGGCTTAATCTGTCCCTTACCATTTACATACTTTGCTGAACTAAAGTTTCTTCTGTCTTTGCAGTGAGGTATTGTCACGGTTTTCTTCTGGCATAGACACGTTCCTTACTGTTAGTCTTTTTTTTCTTCCCTGGTGAAGTGCTTTCTGAAGACCCGTTCCTACTATGACACTATTAGGAGATTACCGAGTCGTATCACTTAGGATGGCCAGCAAAGCTTGCTCGTGTTTTCTTTTATGACTAAAAGGAAAAAAAATAGCTTTCATTTCAAACCATGATGTTATTCATGTAGTTAATCCCCACAGCCATTATGGTTTCTGGCTTTCTTCTCTTTTGTCTGCTTCCTGCTATTGTTATTTTTTAAATATTAGGAATATTGGGCTAGTCATGATTTCTAAGGTCATAAAAACCCAGTTTTAACATCTTTAGAAAAGAGTCTCTTCATTCTGAACTTTGTACTATGCCTAATGTAACGATGCCACAATTCTGATGAGGGCCTGTGGACACTATCCAATTAAAAAATTAATAATGATATGTCAGAAACTGGTCTATTAATCTTAGCTTTGTATCTTCAAAGCTTAGAGCTTTTATCAGTGTGCATTTCACAGTGATAAAATTACTTAAACCTTTTAAAGTTTAATCATATCTGCTTATGGTTCTGCTGAAACTAATTATGCCAGTTGCTGACATCAGTATGTTTGCCAGTTAGACTCTAAAGCCAGTTTCACATGTGTACTGATGTTGAAGGAAAGCCTTTGATTATGCATTTTAAAAGCTGAGATGATTTATAAGAGTTCTGTAGATATATGCACAATAAGTAATATTTTTGAAAAAAAAATGTATTTTAGGAGTGCTGGTTGTCATAGCACTTTGTGGAAGGATCACTACAATAGTTTTTATGGTAACGGTGTTTTTTTTCAGATAGTATCATGATATTTGAAAATTTTTTTTAGTAATCGGTAGTTTGTCACAAGGATTACATTTCTATAAACATTCTATAAACATTAATATCTGGCCAGGTTTTCCTGTTACAGGTTTTGTTTCTTTGCTTTTAAATTAAAATGAATTAATTTTAAAAAAATTAATTAAAATCAGTAATGCCTCAAGAAAGAAAAATCAGAAATTAAAGTAGAGGGGAAAAAGAGAGAGGAGTGACATGAAGACAGGAAAATGGCAGTCCTCAGTATGTGATAAGTAGTACAGAAACTGTCTATATAAAAGTATCTTCATAGTAATATTATTATTTTTGTTCCTTAGAAATTAAAAATAATGCAGGAATAAAGCTGTACTCCTTCAATGGGAATTTTATTCTTGACCATGTTAAAAAGTGATTTTTTTAAAAATTGAAATAAATTGAAGTAATTTAGCTGTCCTGATGAAAGAGGACTGAATATATGCTTAGCGACTTTTTCATTTTCTAGCTTTTGAGTTCTGTGGTTTTGTATAGCATTACTCTAAAGTCACAATAATCTTCACTTAAGTGTTTCATTATGTTATTCCCTCTAATAACTCCGTTATAGTTAAAGGAGTCAACTCTGCTAAAATTGGTAAAAATCCCAAACAACAGAGGCTACCACAGTTGCGGCTTTAGTCAAGATTTTCTAATTCCTTTTTAAAGCAGAGAACACCAGAAAGTTAACGTAGCACTGAAGCTAAAGGCGCAGACTACAGACTTGGTTCTAATCTGAGTTTGGAAGTCACGTTTTTGCGTTTGGAAAGCTTTTTCATGCATATGGAATTATAGTCGTAGCATTTTTGGATTACATTATGATACCTACTGTATATCTTGGATTAGAATGAAGATTTGCACATCTGTATTTGGAATACTGCTGGTTTTTATTTGTATGTTTATGCAGTCAATTAGATTTAAAGAATTTTCAGTAGTATTAGGTTTTATATAAAACAAGATTTAGCAGTATGTGTAAAAGTAAACTGCTACGGTGTCTTATGTATGAATATACTACTCCCACAGCTTACAGCTTTCCAAAATGATCTGATTATGGAGGCTACATGAAACCACTTGAATTCCTATTTGAGTAAGATTTTTTGTTTTTAAGATACGGCATTGCTTCTGTTAGCATTGCTGTAGATGGTATGAAGAAGGCGGAATGCCATCACCTGCCGTCCTTCTCTGTTAATACTTTTAGGACTCGGTGCTATACAGGTGTAATAGCTTATAGCATATGTCATACAGTGAACTGGTCCTTCAGTTTTACTCACCCAGAGGGCATCACCTTAAATAGCAACCTTTCTTACCTAACGTGTCAAGATTGAGAAACCCACTGCATATCACAATTACAGTTCAGGCACGGAATTGAATTGCTGTCCTTGAAAACAGCAGGCATCTTGTTACCTCTTAAGTAGCAAATCTTAGCATGACCTTTGAATGGAGAGAAGTGTAACCACTCTTGGCTGACACAGTAACTCGGCAAATAAATGTATTGTTTTGCCTGCCTCCTGAAGCTGATAGTTGAAAATCTGTCAGCCTTTGTGTCCAGTCTTGGAATTTTTTTTTTATAAATATCTGTGCCTACAATCCATTGTGAACTTTAAAATTTTAGTTGTAATCTTTGCTTTTCTTTATTGAAAGAAGTTACAACTTTAAGGAGTAGCAAATAGGTAATGGATTAAATTTGTTGGAAATTCCACAAAAGAAAAATTACCTTTTTTCCCCCCTCTCTCTTTTTCTCAGAGAAATTTATGAAAGCACTATTCTCAAGGAATCCGGGAATAATATTCAGCATGTTGAATATGATGGCAAAATATGGAGTGCTACTTCTTACAAGAAATATCCTTGTCATTTATTGTGTGTCTAGTACAGAGGCAGGAATGTTCCTTTTGCTCCAGCATGAATCTAACCATCTTTAGATCAATTTCCTGCTCAGTCACACTTTATGTAAGATTGAAATACATACCAGTGGTTGCATTTCTTAGTATTTTCTAAATAGCGTATTCTTCAGTATGGTGTATTTGTTCACCTGGCCTTTATGGCTAAAGAGGCATGTATTTTAGAGAAGTAGATATCGTAAAAATACCTCATTGTCATATGGTCTTTTATTTTGCGTCTTTTCCTATTAATCATATTGTGAAATTCTCTGACGTTCTGTTCTCTCTTAGCTTTAACTGTTTCATGAAGGAAACAACACACAGTCCCCCTAGGCTTGGAACAGTAGTAAATATATGTCTGTGAGAATTAATAATATTTGAAATCCACAATGTACCTTCCTGCTTCTGAATTTAGGGGTAGATTAACCTTTGCACTATTACTGGAAGGCAACTATGTTTGTTCTTTTCTGTTAGTAAAATGGAGGGGGAAAATATTTGTGTGTGTGTTTATATACATATGAGAGAGAGAGGGGTCAAAGTGACTTCTTTGAGACTAAACAGAGAGTATCAGATCTGACATTGCAAATTACATGGCCTGTGTGTACAGCCCAGGGCTTTGATTACCAGCAGGGGCTTCTCCCTCTGCTGTTACCCCACTCCCCAATAGATAGAGAACCAGTATGTCATTAGTTTAAATATAAACCAGATATATATAATGATTTTATTTTGGAGTCCTTTTTCCTCTCTGACATAGCTAGCCATAACTAGGGAGGCAGAAGTTCCAAAGAAAGAGGTGCCAGAAAGGACCCTGCAAAAAATGTTTTGTTGCCAGAGGCCACATATTCTTGTGGTGAACCCTCTGTGGTCAGCGAAGGAAATGAGGCACATCCTCTCCTATGCCAGATTCTGAGGGCAACTCAATGGAGATAGGAAACGAGTGCCAGAGCAGTGGGATAACTCGTGCAGACAGGGGCCAGCTTGCACGCTGGAGGTCTCTATCAGTGCAAGGCTCTCTGGGATGTTGTCTGACGATTTAATTGTAACTTTGAATGCTGTGACATGTGAACGAGCTATTGCGTGTCAGCTGCTCCACTGAAGCTGTTTATGACTGTGCTCTCAGCATGAATGCAAGGTAAATTAAGGTTGCAACAAAAGGGGTGTAATAAGGTATATACTAATTTTAGTTTGGGATGCCACAGAGTAGGAGAACAAACACAGACAACTTGCTGCAGAGCAATTGATGGACAGTATTGTATTGATATATTGTATCTTGTTTGTATAAAAATAATCGTGAATGAAGCATCTCTTTATCTTAGATGCCTGCAAAAGCAATTAGGACTTTTGAACATAAATAGAAAGTACCATCTGATCAATTTTTATCACTTGAAGCGGAAAGGTATTTTGTTCTTGGTTGCTCAATCACAGGAAAAGCTTGAAAAAAGACCATTTTAGTGCTCTTGGCATCGGAAGGCAGAAATTTTGGGTTGAACTAAAATAGAAGGAGAAAAGGAGAGAGCTCTGTATCCTTTTGTTTTCAGAATGGAAGGGACATGGGCTAGGATTTAGGAGGAAGAATATAGGCTTTTGATCTAGGACTTAAGCTGCACTTGTCAATCCATTCTTGATGTGTCTTGGACTCAGTGTAATGCAATGAAATACTAACTGCTCTTACTAATATTTGTGAAGTGAAAGAGTAATCCCTGACTCTGTAGAAGTTCAATGCCATCATTCTGTAACTTCCCAAAAGGCAGAAAAAGAAAAACAATCGATAAAACACAAAATTGAAGATTCCATACTACCTAGGGTTTCCATGATTTGAAGTTGTGATAGTATACGTTTCAAAAACACAGTAGAAAATTGTCATATCCAGAAGAAATATTTTAAGCATCTCCCACGCTTATAAGATCTCCCTTCTAAAAGGTGTGAACTGTTAGGATTGTTAAAATGGAGTAACTTTTTAAAAGCAACACATTTGTGGTGCTTAGACTTCACTAATCAGATTTTCCTTTTTAAAAAATGTGGTGCTTTTCAAGTGTTACTACAGTGACTTGCTGCAAATATTGATTAGGCAGACTGTGCCTGTATTTTTACAAGAAAGAATTATATTTATTGGGGAAATTATATGTACTGGAGATGTAAATATTTCAATGAGTAAAATAGCAAATAAACATTGAATTTCTCCCCCTCTACAGGAGTACCTGGTGTGTGTGTGTGTATGTAAGGTTGGGGTGCGTAGAGATTAGAAGAAAAGATAAGCATCTGAAAGAATGTTTTTATCCTTTCAATGGTGTTGGCTGCTCTGATAAATGATTATTACCTCTACCTACAAATCTTGCCCACATTTGTCCTAATTATTTCAGAACGTGAATGATAAAGGATTGGAGTTTCTCTACTTCCTTTGGTTCATTTATTCATTATAGCCATAAAATCATCTCATAGTGGCATAAGGGGAATTTTGATAGTGGCTGTGAGACTCCTTAGCATGTAAGATTGTGTTTGGATCTTAACATATAGAGAGTTAAACTGCTCGTTTTTGTTATATATGCCAATATAACGGAAGGTTTATCAAAATAAACAGTTTTCTTTGCCTGTGTGCAAAATGGGTTACAGTTAGATATTTGTGTACTTAAGGTCAGGCCTGAGCTTTTTGGGTTGTGGCTTGAGCATGTATCTCAGGAATTTGAGTGGTATTGTCATGTGGGTTATCTTTCTTAGTGTAGGGAATAACAGGAATAGGAGTCTGCTCCTGTACATGAAATCCTGTGAAGGAGAAGGGGAGAAGAAAATACTGAGGGTACATTGAATTGTTTTTCTTTTCCTTCCTTCTTCTAAATGCTCGTGTTTTTGCACCGAAGTAGCCTATAGAAAAGCCTTGGGTGTAGTTTGTAGGGGAGGTGGCCGTTGCAGTCCTGCTTATGGCATCATACTCCGGCAAGTCTTTGGGAACTGGAAACTCCTACAAGTTCCTTTGGGAACTCTGCAAACTCCTACTCTGCATGTTTAAATTTCTTCAGAGGGAGACAGACTGGTTCTCATGCAGACACTGGTATAACGGAAAAGAGCCTGCTTTGCCAGATGTGGCACAGATCAGGGATTCAAGTGCTTGGCTTGGGACCATCAGCCTAGGAATATCCAGAAATCCTTAACAAAATTGCTCTGCCTGGAAGAAGACCTCCCCCAGGGTGCCTATAAGGAGTGCAGTACTGCCAGGATCTGTGCTGGACCTGCCCAGCTCTACGTCTTTATGGTGACCTGGAGGATAGAGCAGGGCATGCTCTCAAGTTTGCAGATGACAGCAAGCTCGGGGGGAGCAGGTGGTACACAAAGGGACAAGGCTACTGCTCAGAGAGACCTCAGCGGGCTGCGAGAGGGAGTTGACAGGGAACTCGTGACATCTGACAAGGAGCAATGTAACATCACACGTGTGGGAAGGACTAACCTGTCGTAGCAATACAGGCTGGGGAGCAGCTCTGCTGAGAAGGAGGTGGAGGCCCTGGCAGAGAGCGAGCTCAACATGAGGCAGCAACGAAGGCTGATTGCCTTCTGGGCTGTATTAACGAGAGCACAGGCAGTCGGTGCAGTGATTTGTCTCCCTTTACTCAGCTCTCATTAGACTGCACCTGGAATAATGTGTACCCATTTTTTTGGCACCCCCAGTACAAAGCAAACATGCATTGGAGCAGGTCCAGCAGCAGGTTCCCAGCCTGCCCAGGGAGCTGGAGTGCTTCCCTTTTGAGGATAGGCTTTGGGGGGGACCTGATAGCAGCCCCATAACAAAAGTTAGCCAAAACATTATCCACACTGTCACCAGCACAAATGCAAACCGTAGCCCCATACTAGCTACTGTGAAAAACTGGAGCAGAGGGGGAATAGAGAAGGGGGGGTCTATGAGACGTTTAATTGTGTGCACTGAGAGCCCTGACTTACAGAAAAGGTGGGATTTTCTAGGTGGCTGCTCATGACATAACTTGTCCCAGATTGGAGGCTCGTTTCTCAGAAAAGATTTGATTTTTAGTTTGATGTTTTCTTGAGCAGTTTCATAAAACCTTATGGCATCAGCTTTCCATCAGAAATTATAAGAATTATATTTTATTATTATTGATTGCTATAGAAATGTTCATAAAGTTGAAAGAAATATTTTACAAAAAAGTCCTTTTTTTTTTTCCTCTTTAGAATTCAGAAGGAACTTGCTGAAATTACATTAGACCCTCCTCCAAACTGTAGGTAAGTTCACCTGGATTTTATTGATTTGGAATATGGAAATGGAATATATGGAATTATGGAAGTTGCATAGGGAACTGTAGTAAATTTTAGCTTTTCCTTTGTGCTGGTTACTTAGTAATTTTGGAGTAAAAGCTGATAGATAGTGTTTGCCTACATAGAAGGAATTGATTTGACATACTTCCTGGTAACAAAAGTAATCCTAAAAACTGATGAACTCCATGATGCCTTAATAGATACAGGGCAAAAATCAAGTCACCCTTCATTTGAAGTATTTAGTCAATAGCATTTTGTTTGATTCTGTAAAATGTAATCTTGGTGGCAGTTGCTGGTGTGTTTGATTCCTTTTTCTTGCAAATTGTTAACACACTGTGAATATAATGGAGAAGGAAAAATGTTATAGGCACAGACTGTTATTAGTCTTCCGACTGTGTTTTTGGTGATCAATTATGATATTCAGAGGAAACTTCCTGAAATAGAGCATATCATTGCATAGCCTTTCTAATAATGACTTTGTGCTTGTGTTTTGGCTTTTATTTTTTTTGGAGGGGGCGGGGGGAGCGGGTCAGGTGTGTTTACTTTCGGTGTGTTTAAAATTGGCTTTGAAATGAGTAATGAGGTAGGCCTAGAAAGCCCGGCTGCCTGGTGGCCGGGGCGGTCTACTAGTTGTTTTCAGATGGCTGTCTCCGGGCTTCTTATCTGTCAGCTTGACATATGGGCAGTGCTGGAGCCGGGCCAGGGCTGCACGGCGATGCTTAGAGGAGCCCCTGCCACCCGCGCCGAGAGGTCGGGCTCGGAGCGGAGGAATAGCTTCCACCCCGTCCTGCCAACCCGCTTCCACTCCTGTGGTTAGTGAGGATTCATTCTATTAGTGCAGCAAAAAGAGAGATTGATAGAAATGGCTGATTGCACGCAGCTTTTATAATGAATCCCAGTACGTTTCAGTATCGAATTAACTAAGCAACTGGTTGTAAAAATGACAGTCAGCTTTATTGTTTTGGTCTCTTGACAAAAGTATGTGTGAGAAAATATTCTAACAAGATTTGATGTGGTTGTGCTGGATCTCGAGATATAAGTCAAGTGGCTACGTACTAAAGCGCTGTGTGGTGAAGTAGCCTTGCAATAATAGCGTTCAAAGAGTATTTCAGTCAATTAGGATGAACAGTTCTTTGCTAGATAAAACATTTTAATAGCTAAGCTGTTCTGTCATACTTACGACTGTGTGTGAGTCTTCAATCACATCAAAGCTGTTTCAAATGGCAGATCTTTACTTAGGTGTTGATGACTGATGCCTATTAGTGGATTGATTTGCTGAGATGAATATAAAACTTCAGTCTGTTGTAGAAGAATGCATAAGTCTTTGAACTGAGTCTAAAAGGCTTATAGTTTTTACAGCAGTGTCATTTGTTCTAGTTTTCTGAATCCTTCCCTTTGTAACAAAGCAGTTGTTTCAGTCTACAAGATACTGTTATTTGATTTTCTTTTGCTAGTAAATGTAAAGGGAGTATTGACTGTCCTGGTGGAAAGCTCATTGGTGACTTGCAATTTAAAAAAAAAAAAAAAAAAACAAAAGTGAACTGGAGTTTTCCTGTTTTGTTTTGTTTTTTTTTAAATTATTTATACTAAGATAAAATAGTAATAATGTGCGCTGCATGATGATGTTTTGCAAAATCAGAAAATTACATCTAACTTCGTGTGTCTGGTGCTTGAACACAGTTCTTAAGATGCAGAATTATTTCATGTTGTGATCTTGATAGATAACCATTAATAGCTTTACTATTAGCAAATATGTTTTTATAGTCAATATGGAATCACTTCATTTAGTTTTATGCTCTGTTGACATAGTCTAAACAGTGTTTTCATTTGAACTTCATCTATTTTCTATTATAGTTAAACATTACAAAATAAATACATCAGCCAGACATGATTCTTCAGCGTAATGAAGAAGGCCAAGCTATAGTGCAGCATATTTTACCCTAAAGTATTTGTATGTCCTTTCTGGGGTTTAGTGAAATTTACATCATTGTTATAACAGGTGTTAGATTTTCTAGTATATTTCTTAAAAATAACTTTACAGATGTAGGCTACTTGAAATCATTGTGATTCCAGCTTATCTTCACTATGTGACCTATTTTATATATAAAATAAGTCGTGATTGGGCAATAGGAATATGGTAAATCTCAAAACTACATGTCACAGAAGACGTGAAGGAAAGCTGTATTATCCAAGAATACTCTCTAAGTAGTCATTTAGGAACTCCGGATAGGCAGGGTATGGAGCTGAATTGGAACTTGGGTGGAATATTGCAAGATGTGTTCCAAGACTTTCCGTTAGCTACAATAGGCCAAAGCTTCAGGTTTTTCTATTTCAGGAAAAAACTCAAAATGGAACAGTGTCTGTAGTACAGTAGGACCCAGTAATGGCATGCTAGGCTACACAGTCCGTACAAGCTCCGAGGGAGTTGCAGCTTCCACTTCTACAGCAGCTGCAATCTTAACGCTTCCCCTGCCTCGTCCCCAGGAGGAGAATAGGCTGTATAATCTTCTTGTTTGTCTGGATGACAAAAAAAGTCTTGCTCGCACATGTGCCTTTTAATTGGCAGATTATCGCTGCTGCCACTTGCAGCATCTTTCCAAAACTGTGGTAAGCTGTGGATTTCAGAGTTGCTAAAAAATCTGTCACATTTGGCTTTAAAAGAAGACTTAATGTTATAAGAAATTGGAGTTGCCTGCCTCCCTAGGTATTGTTGGATTTCATGTTCTGCAGTTTGGGTTCTGGGCCTTGACTCCCCAAACTTTGGATCATTCCTTAGGACTGAGAATGTATAATGTTCTAAGTGTCAGAAAGTTAAGCTGGGGGACGTGTGGGAGCTGAGCAGTGTAGTCATTGCTATTTTTGGAGGAAGGCATGTCATAAAAAAGCCTGTTATACTTCACATTTAACAGAAAGAACTGGATGGTTTTGGTATGTGTTGTGTCCCATCCCTCCTCCTCCCCACTTTACTTTTGTATAGAGCTGAATTTACTGTCAGAGTCCTGAGTGCTAAGCAGGTACATTTGTATTTTAAATCTGCAGCATTGTGAAATTTTAGTTTGTCAGGAGACACTATACCTAAATTGTAGATGTTTGCCACTCTTTTTTTCCTTCCTCATTGAAATACCAAAGTTTGATTGCTAGAAATGTTGCACATATTATGCCTCTGAGTGGTACAGAATATACCTTTTCTCATAGGCGATAAAACTCTCGTCTTTAGTATTGTTTTCCTGTATTGCCTTGCTGGAAGAGGGAAGTAGTTGGGAAATCTTATAGCTAAAATAATGCCTTTTCAAACTTTCCCATATTTTGGACTGCATCTTGTCCAAGACAATAGATTTTGTAGAATACAACTTCTATTGTCAGCGTTGTATACTATTTCCCGTCTCACTGGCAAGAGAACAACATCTCTGTGGCAACTTATACCAATTGCTTACATGGGAAAATAGTATTTGGAAAGTATTTAATGTATTTTTAGCTTCTTTCAATGTGAACTTAGCAGCTGGAAACAAGGAGAGCCAGCACAAAGCGCGTAGCAGCTCTCTGCGGACACCACTTGGAGCAACTGCTCAAAATTTTCCTATTAAGTCACTGTTGTTCCCTATCTTCCTCTTTGTGTTTTCCTTTGATGTTCTCTAGCATATTTGTCACCATTCTTCTCTTTTCTCTGTATTTACTGAAATTCCTTTTCTGTGTACGCACTTTACTACTTTTTCCCTGTAGAAATATGGGTGATGCTTGAGGCTCAGAAACATAAAGGACTATGCAGCTTCATGGGCAAATTGACTGGTTCCCATTGCAAACCAATCAATTGAAAACCCTGCATGTAGTCTTATCTCTTCTATTAGTTTGGAATCGTTACATTAATTCCTTGCTTGGTATACTTTCTGCAAAATTGAGAAAAAAAACAACACATCTGATCCTAGTATTTTGCTTATGAAAACTAATCACACTGAAAAGACTTAAAGCACATTTTGGGGGGGCAGGAGGTGGCGATGTAGAGAAGAGCCAAGTGGAATGGCAAATTATTCAGCTTGGCTTGGGAAGAGAGGTCAGCGTGCCTCATGGAAGTCTCTTGCTCTGTTAATGACTATATGGAGTCTGACATTCCTCTCCAATAGTGCTCTCTCTTGGTTTTTGCTGAAAAGGTGGGGCCGTGACCTTTACAACTCTAAGGGATTATGTGAATTCCATCAGTTTAAGTTATTGTTCTGGTGGCCATTTGTTTAAAGTCTCGCTTAGTGCTACTTTAAAGCTAAGGAGGTGACATGGGTGTCAGGAGCAGAAATCAAATGTTAGCACAATTTCATGGGAAGACCAGGAGGGAGAAGATTGTCGGCCTTGCTCTGCGGTGCAGAGGCGGAGGTGTAGGGACCTAGAGCAGCAGGTACAGCAGGTCTCTGTTGTGCTGCCCTGGGCTGCTCCAGTCTCCTTCCTTCCCTCTTGCCCGAGGAACTTGTTAAGGTCTTCCTCTCTTCCCTGTGTGCGCACACACACAAGCACTTGGGACACAAACAATAGTTTTCTTACAAGAGCAAAGTGATGCCGTACAGTTTTTTTAAATCGTACGCTCACAACATCAGTTTGTTTTGGGGGGGGTGTCTGAACAATCTTGGTTATATACATTTCCTTAAAATATTTGAATAAATGTGGAAAATATTTGGAGAACGCGGAGTAACGCCTTCTCCAAGTGCAAAATGCAAAACTGATTCCTCTTGGGTGCTGGAAGGATTCTGCTATTAATGCAATTTGCTTAACCTAAATTTGCTTCTGTTTTGGTTAGTCTCCTTTAGCTTGCACAGAGAGTTTACTTAATTATTTTAGTAGCATTAAGCAGTTGCTCAGTAACACTGCATCCACTCTGGTAGTGTCCACTATCCGTTTTACAACGTTTAAATGCCTGTTGAGTGCTTTTTACTCTTGTGCAGAACGCACAGGCTGCTTAAGTGAGGTGCTTCCTTGCTCTGTAA